CCCGAATGAAACGTAGGAGGATATCGTCGGAAACGCGTGGAAACGCAGTGTAGCTTCTGCACGTCTGCTTTAAAGCATCGACCGAGCCGAGCTTTTTTCGCGGGCGCACGGTACGTTATCCTGCTTTTGTCTTCCGGCTCGCGAGGATGCAGAGCAGAGTTCGAGTAAACGAGATTTCTTTGTTTCTTGACCGAGGAAGCTTGTAGTCTGGATTTTTCTTCCTCTCTTTGGTTATCACGTTTTTGCACCGTGAAACGCAACACTCACGCTCAATGGCAAAGTTGTGTCATATTTAACGTGAAGAGGACAACTTTAGAAGTACTTGTCGTTCTTCTTGTTTGATGATGATCGTTCACGAAGCGTTACTGCATATTTTAAGTACTCTTTTATTGGATAATTCATAAAATTCATAGAGATTTAAGAATAGTAGTAACAAGTTGGGAACGATGTGTTCATCTTTTCATACTGGAAATTTTTAATACATTGTAGGAGCTGCGCGATAGCGTTTCTGCTCCATGAATAATTATTTAAGTATTCTCGAACGGTTTATCCGACAGTGGATCAGGCAATAATTCAAAATGATATCCAAATGCAAGAGCTTTAATTTTCCTTCGCGTTGCACACACGGTTTGAACCGTTATATAAGTCACGTCGTTAGTACAGATTATCCATTTCAAAGTAACGCATCTGTCTCTCTGTCGTGGAAATCTTTTATTTATCTCGTTTTAATACTCCCCATTTATAATCCGCAACGTATCTCCGCGTAGGAGGGCTTTCGTGCTCGCGAACCGATGACATTTACACGGTCGCGAATAAAGGTTACGTCGCATTCATTTATAAATGCCCTCGCACAAAGGTTCCGCTCTACGCGCGCAGGAGTTTATCGAATAGCAAGCAGAATCAGACGATTAAATAACACTTAATTAAACGTTTAATTTTATTTGCTACGAGGGAATGCATTTTTCGTTGCAACTTTTTTATTCGCACTATACGAAATTTCGCAAAAATGATTCGCATAAAAATCCGGACACTGTACTCGGTAGTTTTGCAAGGGGGGTAAAAATAAACGACCGACATTCATTTATTTTTGGAGAAATTTAATTAAAACGTGGTCGCTGGGAGGGAGAGTCCAGTTTTCCTCCGATTTAAAAATCAACGAGCGCACACGTACACATAGGGAATTTCGGCGAACGACCTTAAAACTGGTGCAATCAATTCTCTCTCTCTCTTTTTATTCTTAGTTAGCATAACGAGGTTGTGCAAAGGCATAAGCGAACGAAAATGGGCTGTCGAATATCTGGAGCGTAAAATGAACGGATTTTAAAATAGTTGAGCGTTCACGGCCGGTTAGCCGCGATGGCCCATTATACATATGTACTGGGCGCTGGTTATATTCGAATCGAATTATCGATTCGAACTTTGCCCTGGCCCGTTTCCTCGTACGAGACATTCATGTAAGCACGGTGTTATCCAAGTATCGTAATCAGAATCAAACGCCTACCCTCCACTAAAATTGTTTTCCTACAAGCCAGTTACCAGTAGAGATAAAGCTCGCTCTTATAGTCAACGTTTCCTTCTCCTTTCTTCCTATGCGTTTTGCATTTCCCTTCTTTTTCTTCTTGCTTCTTATCGCTTTAGCGCCGCGAGAGCGCAGGTGCGCGGGTTTTCTTGTTATTTCAAAATGAAAAACTCGCACGAAATAATTTACGAGTCGCGTAATCCGCGAGGTCTCTGCCTCGAATCGCTCGTTTCACGATTGCTCGAAAGAGACGGAAAGAATTCCGTTACAGCGAGTTTTTGAAAATTCATATAAATGTAGTGTATTTTTTAACTCTTTGGTAAAATTGCTCTCTTGAGGCTTCCCCCGTAATCTGCCTCATTCATCACGAACTGTTTACTTTTAAAAAGATACCCTACAGACGAACGTAACCCACACACATTTAGAACCACTTAATCCTCTTCTAGAATCTTAACGATCGTTCAAAATATTTTTTCGCCTACTCCAACGCTGTTTGATAAAAGCATTCGTTTTCTTGTAATAACGAAAATGCGTAACAACTACATAAATTTCGAGAACGCGTCATTACCGTAAATTATTCGATAGGAAAATTTTTGCCAACGCGCGCTAGCACACTCTGCAAGTATTATCGTATGCAAAATTTAGGGTATCTCGCGAAGGTATGGCTACGAGAGGTCGTGTTTCTTAAAAATTGCTTCGAAAGCGGCCAATAGCGATCGCTTGCCCTTTGGCAACGGGAAATCTCGGCGGTGCTTTAATTTTAGCGTCTGTCGGCGACATAAATTCGAGGATGGAGAAGATTCCGCGAGGCATTCCGTACGAGGAATATCGAATCATCGATCGATCGGACGGTTGTCGATATTATTCACCTGATGGATCGAAATTATATTATAATCCCTGAACCGTATGATGGATATTTTGATTGAGCTTCTGATCAATCGCGTCTCTAATAGCCCACAGTTTTCAAAATTGATCGTCTACCAAGGTCGTTGAAACTATTTTTATGCCACCCGTTAAATCGATATCGCTTATAGAATCTCGTTAAGGGATGTCGAATTTCGGTCATTCAATTATTGGTGACATAGTGTAATGAGGAACTCTGAATGAATTGCAATTTCCATTTTAGTATTTTAGATAGTGCAGGATATGATAGTGAAGTTCTTTGTTGATTTAATTTCCTCGAAGCAGTTCGCATCTGAGAAAACCGTGGCTGAATAGGAATGAATCTGGTAATTAGATCAATTTCTGATATTTGTTCTGTCGGGTTGGTGTAAAAGTGGCTCGCTTTATCCCATTAGCAGGCCGCACTTCTCTTGAAAGTTTCGGCAGGCGTGTTCGCGTACAAACGATCGGCGACGAGTCTCCTTTAGAAATGCCCTCGAACACGAAAACGTTCTCGTCGTGCATTAAATGAATAATCTCGCTCCTTTTTCTACCCGGTAAAGTAGCTCTTCGGGCGATGTTTTCACCGAGCGAACAATTCCGATGGATGCGACCATGAAAGTGACCTAGGTATTTCCTACGGGACAAAAAAAGGGGATGAAAGGTTAGGGAAATGGAAAATGACAAAAAAAAATGGATTGTCCGTCTGGAGAGTTTCCGAGTATTTTCGCAAACGAGCGCTCGCGGCCTTTCTCCGCCTATAATGAGTGTGGCCGGCAGCATCGCTGCTGCTTATTTGCTCGGTTAAAACAGAGCCCATTTCGCCGTTTCTGCTCAGCCTCGGAAGAAGTCCGTACGCGCGATGATTTATATCGTGACCGCCATATTGACCCGCTGCCAGTGGCACGCGACCAAGGCAATTTCCTAAATTGTTTTCTCTCTAACTGACCGAAACGACATGTAACAATGTTACTTCATCAAAATACATTTTAATTACGTTCCGCTTAATTTGGTAAGATATTCCTTTAAATTCTGTTTCCCTCGAGAAGTAAAGTGATTGCATGGATACGCGTTCGTGACCAATAAAATAGCTTCGTCCGTATTCCGCAGATTCATTCGATCACTTTTACGCTGGAGACGTCGGCGAAACGATCGCGAATCATCGTAGCATAAAAGTGCTGTCGCGGCCGTGTGGGAGGACGTCTCGCGCTTAAGGGAAAAAGCCGATCGACGGGGAGTGGGGCTCGTAGCCGATTGGATTCCACGTGTGAAATTGCAGGAATCCCGCGATGACGCGTGACAGCGAGTTCTCGCGGCGGCGTTCCTCGACCCGGCAGGGACGGGGGTAAATAGTTTGAACAGCATTTATTGAAGTTGTTCGAGATCGTCCAACTTGGTTCCCTTTCAAGTTTACTTTTCCCGCGAGTTTTCACACCGTTCCTCGACTAGATCCGCGGATATGCCGCAGCGTTCATTCGGGAAAGTATCGGTAAATGTCGTTTCTTTCTCAGGTAACCAATTGACGGCGAGCCAGGTTGCTTTATCCATCTATGTGATTATATTACGTTATATAAGTGAAGTGCTGACGAGGCACTGTTGCAGCCAGGAATTCTTTCGATTTTGTCTAAAGACTAAGGAGAGGATTCTTGTGATATGCAATTGATTTAGAGATATTCTTGAAATAATTAGTAGAAACAGTTTTACGCGCTGTATTCTCAATTTAAAAGACAAAATTTATTTGAAATAATGAAACAGAACGTTTCTGCAAATATTCTTTGATATTTAAAAAAATTTCAATTGTTTGTCGGACGATTTTGCTCGAACGGACTACTTCGTATATCCAACAATCGAGGCTATCAAGTTTCTCACGAAAATCGACCAATCGAATACCGAGAGCGGATCAGATCCAACGATGGCGTGTCGTCGCGTCTATACAGTTTTCATGGCGAACAATATCGTAAATAGCCCATTAAGGCGATGTCCGTGCTCTCACGGAATCCATTTGTTTTATGTCCGCCGATGCCCTCGCGGCGGAGATTACAGCATCGTTTACCGATAACGATGACTATTTGTTCAATTGGATTCGGATACACGGACGGTTCTCCTCTTTGAAGGAAGCTCTGTGGAAAGGAACAGGATTTAAAGATTTAATGATGGACGGCGGCAACGACCGAAAGAGTGCACGTTCTTTCATTGCAAAGGAACGCGAGCTTTACAAGCTCTGCATAACCAAAACCGTGAGACCAACGCCGAGCACTCTTTTATTCGTCGAGTGTCGTTTATCTGAACACTTGCCCGAGCTACTTTTCCTCCTCTTTACGACGCAAGCGTTTTAGTGGAAATTGTTATAGCAATCCGGAATGTGTTTATAGATTGTAAAGGGTACACGTGCGTCCCTAGCGTTCACTAAATTTTGATTTTGTTCGTTGACTAGTTTCTTATAAACTACGCGAGGAAACACTGATCGAAAACAATATACATATAAATGGACACAAGCAGAGAAACATTAAATATTTGCTGTTCATAAACCTTACGATAGAACATTGTAAATATTACCATCAATTTAATAATGTTAATAATTCTGTATTTTTTGTTACAGGTGCTCTGGCTTCAGGTGAGTTTTCTATCTTGTCTTCGTATATTGACGATTTGTCGTCTTTGCGTGAGTAAAAATCTTTTGGAAATTCTCTTTGCATGCTTTCCATTTACAACGCATTTCGTGTCTTTCCGGATGGCGAGTGAATTTCTTTGTTATGCAACCAGAGAGCTTTGTCTTGCAAAGTACGCGACCTGCGTTTGTCTGTGATAAGGAGACTCATTCATTAATAATGGATTCTACAAACTAACTCTTCTTCTCTTTGATACACGTTACTGTACAAGTACAGTATCATATTTAGTTAATTTAATTGAATAATTGATAATAAATCAAAAACAGTTAAATAATAGATGTTTCAATACGAAGCAACGAACGGGAAAGCTATTTCAGTGCCGCTTAACCTTCTAGGAAATAGTTTCGCAAAAGATGGTCCATTAAACGACGGGGAGTGGGGATGGAGAGCGTATCTTAATTACTATGCGGCAGACAGAAGAAATTCGTCGTGAAATTCGTTTGGCCCGCGGTGACATTAATTTCGCAAAAGCAGAAAGCCAGCCGGCTGGTTTTCTTGTCCGCTTCCGGCGTCGCCTGGCCACGCACCATGTACTACCTCCAGAACGCCGAGTCGTGTCGCCGAGATAAGAAGTTGGCGAAATTATTCAACGTTAATGCGAACATAAGCACTGCAACTTTCTGTCTGTTATTACCGAACACGGAGATAGACGGAAGTCGTCGGGGAAATTATGAGACCGAAACGACAGTTCTCCTACGCGTGACGTAAACGGTCCGAAAACTGTTCCGCGAGTCCTTCACCGTTAAGTAATTCTCTTAATTCGGAAAACACGAACAACGCTTGAAGAATAATGGGTGGAGGGTCGCACGGGTGAAAATGCTGACGGGGCTTCATTTTGGCTGTTTGCTAAAGTAGTCTGGGGTCAAGGGAAGTTACCGAGATGCCACGAACTACGAGTGGATACAGGAATTTGCGGAACTCGAGATAGTATCTAGAGAGGTATCGCGAAGGGTAATTCATTGCGTCCCTCGATTGGAGAACCTTAAATGGTCTTGAACAACCTCTAGTGCTAATTGATTTTAAGTAAGCCTACTACTATATCAAACGCGATAAGTGAACCTTACTGAGAAAATTCTCATCAATATTCGACAGAGACCTTGTAAATTTTAAAGAAGTTGGATTTCTTTAACGTCCCAATATATACCACAATAGCAGCTGAACAGCTGCAAACCCTTTTATACCCGTCACATAAATATCCCAGAGAGGCGAGCAAGTATACCATAAAAATCCATTAAGGGCCTCAGCAAATCTTGTTGAAACCGTGATAATCCGGAAATCAATGTTCAAAGTGTGTATTAAGAAGCTGTATACCGTTTTCACCAAGGAGAATTTCAGTTCGAAGGACGAACGAGAAAAAGAACAGAGAGTGAGAGAAAGAGGTCCGTTGATAGAGAAGGTATTGCGGTCGGGGATATATCGCCGCAAATGTTGAAGCCAACGAAGAGTCAAAGTCAAAACCCGAGAGAGCAGGTCGGATTTTCTCGCACGCGCTCGAGCGTGTATCGGGAATGCCGACGACTCAGGCCCGCCGGGCACTGTGTTAGGATTCGAAAAGCGGAATTCTTCTAAACGGAGAGTCCGCGATAAATCTGACCACAGAGTGGAGAAGCCTCGGCTACTTCACACATGACCGCCGTTTCGTCGGTTCTCGACCCATCGGTCGGTGCCGCATTGTTTAGTCGTCTTCCTCGCTTTTTCGGTCATTCGCGGTCGGACGGGTTGGATTTTGGTCGGATCGTTTTTGTGGTTTGTCTGGTGAGTGGGCTTCTCGGTATGAACAATGCTTTGGTCAGGTAAGAGGAGTATTGTTGTAACATGCCAATAGTGATCTCGAGATGTAAGGTACTAGAGGCTGATCTTTGTAAAAAGATTGAGACATATAATTGTACATAAAATTGTCATTTCGTTGATACTAAATATATACAGGAAATGTCGAATGTAATCAATTTTACGTATAATAAAGCGTTAATCAAATTAGAATGATTCTTATAATATGTTAATAATGTTGCCACGTCAATTTAATAAGTTAATAGCAACGACTAAAGGATCAGATATTAAGTTACCTTCGTTGCATAACAATTACAAAATACACGGGAGACCTCATTTAATGAAGCGTGTATCGTTTGATTCCGTATTAATAGCCGTGTTCACAGAATTACATTCGCTCACAGGGCAAGAATTATGGACAGGGATCTACTCTGTGTACCACTTAAGCGTAACAAAACTGATTCGATATTTCCTTTATTAGCGATTCGCGTTGCAGCATCGTATCATTAGAGCGCTTCCTCTTTAATATCGCACTCGATATCTTCGCCGCACCATTTCCCTCGCCCCGGTATTTGTTTCCGAGGCTCGTATCCTCGAAATGCGTTTCCACGAACGACAGGGTCGAATGCAAATTCGGCACTTCTTCTCAATGCCTGGCCCGTGAACCAGCGCTTTAGCGCTAGTTAATTCTCGCGTAAAAAAAGAATCCTCTAATAATTTGAAAGGTGATCCAATATCGATTCAAAATACAATGGAAAATAAAAGTGATTGTACAAAATAGTAGTTTGCTTATGGAAGAATGTATGAAAGTTGATGGTAGGTAAAATTGTGCGATTTTCTCAACATATATATAGAAGGCAAGAGATTGAAATCTTGCCTGGAATAAATTTATTGCCCGGAATATGATACACGCAATAGCTTTTGCTAATGTTTGAAACTGGCGCTCGTCCTAAATTCCATATAATTTATTTCCGTTTCGAAGATACATAATGCTAAGTATACATATTCTCGAAGAGTATTCTAATCGAACACCGAAAAATGTACTTGAAATACGTACGTTTCGCTATTTATTAATTGAATGTGCACCTGTCGCAACCCGGCAATTTATACGTCCCTCGCAAATTTTATTCAAGCTCTTACCCTATCCGAAAACTTCGTTTTAATTTATTTTCTCCGCTGTTAGCGGGGAGAAAAGACAGAGGACGTAAATCGAAAGAAAGCACGTTGCATAAATCGTCGAAACAAGGTACCGGTTGGCGAAAACACGGCTCCCTAAAAAAAGATTCGTCGACTAGCAGCAGCGGCAGCAGCAGCAGCAGTAGTAGCAGCAAAATAACGGCTGGAAATTTATTCGCCTTACGCCCACGCGGCTCGGCGGCTTTAATCTAATCAGGCCGTGGATCCGATCGACGAGCATCGATTCGAGCCGTAACTGAGGAAGGGGACGGTCCACGGTTTCAATCTACTCACTTACGATATTCGTCGAAGAAAAAAGTACGGGAACATCGCGTCGAAGGAGCAGAAACGAAAATAGAGAAAACGGAGGGGCGCGAGAGTGGATGAAATGAAAGCAAAATCGACGAATCCGCTGAAAAGTTGGCGGGGAACTGTGTAACAAGCGAGGATGATGTAGGTGGAAAGGACGACAAATAGAGAAATCAGACCGATATTCCGTAAAGATGACAGGATGAAGAAGGAGGTAGTCGGAGGAAAGTGGACGGAATTGGAGATTTTCTGCGAAATGTTTGATATGGCGAGGATCAAGATTTTGACTGCTCTCTTCACTTACGGCTCGATTTTGCCAGTACTTTGCCATTGATTTCTTGTGTGTTCAATCCTTTTCTTTCTCCTCTCTCGAGTTTGTATCGCAAAAATCTTAGATAATGCTGCAAGGTTTATTTCTTCTTACAACGGTTTCTCCTCGCAATCTCGCATAGATATTTTTAATCAATTTTCCACAGCTCAGTGTTCACTGTTCAAATATAAAATAATGGACGAGAGAAAGGATTATAAATTCTTTCATAAAATAACCAAAGGTTAATACCGTTCCTGAACAGAGTTCCTCGTACGTTTAAAGATTCCCAAAGTAAACTATTTTCAACTAACATGCTCCTCGACAGAAATTCCGAGGATGCTCCGCGCATACTTACAGCCTATCGATCTTCCTAGTAGGAAGCAGGAATAAACCAAACTTTATCTTTATGTATATCTTAAACGAAAAAACATGTCATATACTTTTTTCCTATAAACTTCAATCTGAGGACAAGAAAAAATAAAACATAACGAAAAACTGTTTAGGAACATGTACAGCACCTGACTATTGTATTTATAAGAATATTTAATAGTAACATAGTATATTGCACTATTCACAAAAATACAATTTGTTTGATACTGTATAGTTAAGAAGTACTTAAATTGGATTAATCCACTCTGTAGAACAACTCGCATTAGGGACACTAAAGGAAAGTAGAAAACACGCATTTAAAACCACGAAATTCTTTCAGTGGCATTGGCTTCAAAGATCCTTCCGAATCCACTCAGATCGGGTGGCCTGGCGTAAAGCGGCGAGACAGGGGTCGGGAACTAATATACTTTTCCCACTCCCTCCTTACCCATTCTTTGTGTTTCCCGTAGAAGATTGTGAGACAAGCTCCTAAAGATAACGAGATAACCCGTTTTGGGGGTGGCATTCAAACGTCCTCATTTTCAAAAGCCGAGCTGCGCTTATTCGTACCTCTTCTCTCCTATATCCGGTCAAATTCAAACTTTCCCGAAAGTGGATCCGTTATTCTCTCTCCCGCCTGGTTCTCCGTTTCGCGCTCCTCAAGTCGGGAAAAACCTGTACAAGGTGGCCCATTGCCGTTTCTCACGTTACCCGCAATTTTCCTCTTCTGGGATGAGCGGGCCGTCGCGAAAGGCGAACTTCCGTTGGAAAATGTCGCGCAGGAATGCCTGATCCCCTTCCACTTACGAAAGTCGATCCGAAGCAGGTGGCTATTCTGGAAAAGTGAGTCTGAAAAATAAAGTTTATGTGTAATTGGAAAATAGAGGGAAAATGTTCTTTAGGAATCTTGAATTGAAAAATCCTTTGATTTGTATCTTCTGCCACTATTCTTAGAATAAATAATAATAATAAAGTAAACTGCGGACTTTTATGTGAATTAAAACGTTTATAATG